GAACACTCTACTTACCTCAATTTGATCTATATCGACAGTCTTATACGAACACTCTACTTACCTCAATTTGATCTATATCGACAGTCTTATACGAACACTCTACTTACCTCAATTTGATCTATATCGACAGTCTTATACGCCTTCTTGAAGTCTTTCACGCCAATCTTCATCGCATCAACCTGGAAAATAAGAATAATAACAGATAGCATTTATTGTATAGTGAAAAATGCTCACAAATTGACGAGCGCCAGATTCTAAAAGAAGGAGCAAACCACACCAGAGCACCCACCAACTACCCACAGAGTTACTTCACTGTTACATTATTTTGAAAACTTCATCCGGCCCACTTCCAACGCAAAGATGGCAGTAACAGAAAGAAAAACACACAAACTGAAGAATCAGCCCGTCTGTTCACCCCCATACTACACTACCACGAGGTGGGGGCGGCCACGGTTCAAATCTAAAAATAGAGATAACAGACAGCATTTGCATAGTGAAAAATGGCCAAAAATGGACGAGCGCCCGATTCTAAAAGAAGAAGCAAACCACACCAGAGCACCCACCAACTACCCACAAAGTTACTTCACTGTTACATTATTTGGCAAAAAAATAGAAACAAAAACACACAAACTGAAGAATCAGCCCGTCTGTTCACCCCCATACTACACTACCACGAGGTGGGGACCACCACGGTTCAAATCTAAAAATGGACAACCTTAAACTTGAGCTGAAAAGGCAGTCTCTACGGCTATCCCCTACCTTGGCTTTCTTCGGTCACAGACTGCCATAATATTTTAAGGTCTCGCCCCAAAAACAACCTACCAGCGTTAAAAGGAACAGTTCACTTTTGTTTTATGTTTTAGTAAGTGTTTTACGGCACTTGCAACACAATAAGGTCATAGAACTGCCTAAGATTAAAGTTGTTACAAGAGAGTAACAAACACAAAAAAGGAGGAGGAGAGATAAGGACGATAAATGTTTGATCGGAAAGAAGCAGCAAACCCCACCAGAGCACCCGCAAACCACTCACAGTAAACTTAGTTTAGTTTTAGTAGAGGTTTTACGGCGCTCGCAACAGCATACGGTCATGTGAGCGCCAAAAGACTAGAGGTGTTACAAGAGAGTAACAAACATAAAAAAGAACAAGAGGAGATAAGGTCGATAGATGTTCATTAGAAAAGAAGAAGCAAACCACACTAGAGCACCCGCCAACCATCCAGGGTAAACTTATATAATATACCATACAATCCAAATGTGACAAACAAAAGCAGTTTCTTTTTTTGGTTTAGCAATTCCCTAAAAGGGAAAGTACTCTCATATAATCCTCAAATGTACTCTCATATAATCCTCAAATGTACTCTCATATAATCCTCAAATGTACTCTCATATAATCCTCAAATGTACTCTCATATAATCCTCAAATGTACTCTCATATAATCCTCAAATGTACTCTCATATAATCCTCAAATGTACTCTCATATAATCCTCAAATGTACTCTCATATAATCCTCAAATGTACTCTCATATAATCCTCAAATGTACTCTCATATAATCCTCAAATGCCTCAAATGTACTCTCATATAATCCTCAAATGTACTCTCATATAATCCTCAAATGTACTCTCATATAATCCTCAAATGTACTCTCATATAATCCTCAAATGCATTCATTTCATGTAGTTGTCTCCCTTCTACTGTGAAAAAAATGTTGCAAGAAATTTTTTCCAAAGATGGGGGGGCGGGGGGGAAGCAAACGAAAGTCATAAAACAGTGATCTTTGATTAAATCTATTCAAAACCGGCTGTAATTTAGGGGATAATTTTCATGTTTTTATATATATCTTTAGAGTTGTGAATAATTGGGAGCTAGAGAAAATGATACATCATTAGAATTTGACGAAGTATCTGCCCAAAAGAAATTTTGATTCCAACAATACATTCTATTTATAAATCATAATAATAATAACATAATATAATAATAATAATAATATTTTTCTGCCCATCATGAACTGATGATGACCTTAAATATTGAAGGAGGAAGGCCTCGCAGCAGCTATCCCGTGTGCAAGTTGTGCACGTTAAAGATCCTTTAGTGGTCAAAAATCCATAAGAGTCAGCTTAGGCCACCACGCGTAGACTGAAAATGGTTAATGTGTCCTGCGTTCTCATATGACATTATGCAGTTGCAAGCGCCGTAAAACACTTACCAAATACCTTGCAGTAAGGTAACATGTTAAAGAGAGAAAAGCAACTTGTAATGATCCCAAACATCACAACTCACTGCAGAAATATTCTTTTCATGAACAGTAAAACAGTTGGGGGGGCGGGTGCTGGTAAGTGTTTTACGGCGCTCGCAACTGCATAAGGTCATATGAGCGAACGGGAAACATTAAGCATTTTAGTTGGTAGGAAATTTTGAATTTCCCCCAGGAGGTGGCTGAAGCCTACTCTTATCAATTTTGGACCACCATGGGATCTTTAACGTGTTGCACACGGGACCTTTGAAATTTTTTGCCCTTGTCCGGGAAGGCTAGGTGTAGATCTTACTTACCATAAGATCAGGCGTGTGGCTGAAAGACAACAGTTAGAGCCAAGGAGTAGCAGTAGAAAGGCTGCAGAAAGAGTCAGGAGCCCAGAGGAGGGGGCAAAGGAGGCGAGGGGAGAGGGGGCAGAAAGTGGAGACGAAAGCAGACGACAGAACATTGTTAGAGAGCAGGAAAGGATGCGAAAGGAGAAAATTTTTAGAGAAGAAAATTTTGCTTTGCTGTTCGGATTCGAACCCAGGACCTATTGAATGAGAGGCAAACACCTTAACCCCTAGGCCACGAGAGCCCCCAGTACAATAGTGAGTGAGTTAGAATTTAAAAATTGACTTAGTAACTATAATAATTATAAATAGCATTTGTATACAGCATACCCCAGCTCAACAGCACGCTCTGCACGCCATCAAGCCTTATCAAATTCTACTTTATCAAATACCATTCGTCATTTCCTACCGTGGTTTTCGTATCTTTCAAAGACTGCACAGCGAAGTTCTGCTGCTCCAGATTGAAGGATTGCTGACCCAGCTGGTCTCGCTGATTCTCGTACCTGTGAGGTGAGAAAGGAAAGGCGAGGAGGGTCAAGAAAATTCCAGTTGAACCTGCTCTTACTGCCAGTTTTGTTAACACTTAGAGCCCGAGAAACCCTCCGACCGGTCTGGAATGTTATCGAAGCTTAGCCCGATAAACTCTTTCACTGGTCAGGGAGTCACGCATCGAAGAAAGGGACGTTACTGATAACTTTAAAGATCTTTCTGAACTAGATGCTAGTAAGGACGAGGACAGCCATGAGTGGGGTGTGGAATATGATTCTGACAATCACATGAATGTACGTAAAATATCACTCAGGAGCTCAGGCAGAGGGGCATGGTAGCCTCAGGAGGTCAGGGCTCAAAGGGATAAGTGAGTTGGGTTCTTTTAGGAAAAAAAAGCGAATTAGCTTCTTGATCAAACTATACTCTGACCCTTAGCTTTTATAAATACAGGGTTCCTTCCATGAACTCCCCACCAAATTCAAGGAGAATTCAAGGAAGTTTCAAGGAGAAATTTTTAAAATTCAAGGAGATTTGGTCAAGAAATTCATGCCGTTTTTGACGGCGTACCAAGAGCAATCCGACAAAAATTTTGCTCATGTCTGATCCGGCGAAATTCAAGGAGTTTTCAAGGGGTTTCCTCAAATTCAAGGCGTTTTCAAAGAGATTTTTCCTTGAATGCAAATTCAAGGAGTCTTCAAGGAGGCCGCAGGAACCCTGTATAAATCATATAGCTACCGGACCTGACAAGCGTCTTTAGTGCAACTCCTTAGACTCTTCACCGGTACGTGAAAAGGACCTGCATACATTTTGCATGTGAACAATTCTACTTCATCAGGTTTCTTGTCTTTCTGCTGGGATGTTGTCTTTACAATCATTCACAATCTCTTAGTTTTAGTACGAATTTTGTGACACTTGCAAAACATTAAGGTCATATAAAGTGCCAAAGATCAGAATTGTTACAAGAGAGTAACAAAAACCAAAAAAAGGAGGGGAGATATGGACGATAGATGTTTGTTTGTTTTGTTTTTGTAAGTGTTTTACGGCGCTCGCAACTGCATATGGTCATATGAGCGCGCGGGACACACTAAACTTTTTCAGTTGGTAGGAAATTTTTGAATTTTGCCCGGGTGGCTGCTGAAGCCTACTCTTATCGATTTTAGACCACCAAGGGATCTTTAACGTGCACAACTTGCACACGGGACCTCCAAGATTTTTCGCCCTTGTCCGAGAAGGCTAGGTGTAGATCTTTCCTACCAGAAGATCAGGGGTGTGGCTGAAAGACAGCAGTAAGAAGAAGCCAATGAGTAGCAGTAGAAAGGCTGCAGAAAGAATCAGGAGCCCAGAGGAGGGGGCAAAAGAAGTGAATGGGTGGGGGGGGGCACAAAGAGGAAACGAAAGCAGACGACAGAAGATTGCTAGAGAGTAGGAAAGGAGGTGAAAGGAGACAAATTTAGAGAAGACAATTTTTTGGTCGCTACCCGGATTCGAACCCGGGACCTTTGAATGAGAGGCGAACACCTTAACCTGTAGGCCACGAGAGCCCACCGATAGATGTTTGATAGGAAAGAAAGTGCAAATCACACCAGAGCACCCGCCTAACCACCCACATTCGAAGAGTGTCAAAAAGGGATACAAATTATATTATACTTACGTGCGTTTTTGCTTCAACACCCTCATCGCCTTTTGCTTTACTTGGTTCTGCACAAGGAATTAAGAAAAAGTAGAAAATGTAAAAGTTAAAAGTTAATTATTCAGCACCAAAAAAAATGTTTTCCTTGGAAACAATCTATGCTTCCAATCAAGGACATGACCTGTTTAATTAAAATGGTATCTGCAACACAAGAAATCCAGAAAAAGTAAATTTTAAAAAATAAAATACTGAGGTCACATAAATATTTTCCGTGGAAACAATCGACTTTCAATCAGTGATAGTTAAAAATGATACCTTCACAAGGAATCAAGAAAAAGTAGATTTTAAAAATCAATTACGAAGGTCAAATAAATGTTTTCTTTCAAAATAATCTTCTTTCAGTAGGTGATAACTTCACCTAGTATCTCATTTATTGATTTTAAAAAATTTTTTAAACATGTTCTGCGGCTTTATGGCACTTTCAACAAAAATAGGAAATATACGCCAAGTGACAAAGATTAAAGCTATAGAGAGTAAAATACAAAGAAATGATGGAGGAGAGATAACTACACCAAGAACTAGAGGTGTTACTAGAGAGTAGCATACAAAGAAAAGAAGGAGGAGGGATAAGGCTGAAAGATGTTTGATAGGAAAGAAGGAGCAAACCACATCAGAACACCTGCCAACCACCCACTGAGTATCTCTGTCTGTCTGCTGGGATATTGGATCCAACTCAGTCTAGTTCGTCCCTGACAGCTCCGAAAACATCTTCATAACCACGAGAAAAAGCAGTAACTCCAATATTTCTTACTCTAAAGCAGAGTCAACTTGAGTTACTAGCTTTTCTTGGTGACAACATGCAAATTTGGTCGCTTTTAAAGACAAGCAGGCTAACCCAGATTTTTGGGGGTTTCCAGAAATCTGGACCTACACCAAAAGTGGGCATAGCCCTACCTAAAGGATAAGTTTCGTTTCATTGGTGTGTATATATTTGTTTGGTAACTCTCTTTGTCTTTTAAAGAAACTGAACAAGTGTCCAAAAACTTTACCTTTGATTTTCTCAAAACAACATTTTTCGGAATAGCCCCCTTGAGCTTAAAAGCGACCAATTGTCCCAAACACTATACCTTGGCAGGGCCCTCCCTCATTTTCTTCATTTGATCCTTATACTTCTTTAAGTCAATATCTAACCGAGCAATTTTCTTGTCAATTGACTCCCCGCGACTGTCAATCTGAAACAAGCAAAAGAAAAGACGATAATATATATATATATAGTACACTTGTTATTGATAATTTCAAGTTTATATGGCACACACATACAAGTGGTGCAGAACAATAGCCACAGTCTACTGACTCCTTGTAAGGGTGAAGGGCCAGAGGTCAAATTTACATTTACTTTGAGGGTAAGAAAAAAGGGAATTTCTTACCTTAGCTGAAAATAGAAAGCTTGTCTCCTAGCAGTGTTTGAGTATACCTGAATGAAGCCTAAACAACGGACTTGACCCAATCTTCACAGCGAAACTGAAACCACACTTCTAGTCCATCCTTCACCTTGGTGACGATACCAGTTTCTAAATACAGCCAGCCATGATACAGGTATCACAAGGCACATTCACTGGCTTGTGTGCATGTGGCTAGATCCTACCCTCAACCTACTCAACCTAATTCTTTATCCTGATCCTATCCTTCAGCTCTAACCCTGGTCATATCTATGTCATATAGACATAGTTTTATCAGGGCCTACTCAAATCCAGCAATTGTGAATAAAAAACATGCAAATCTGGAAGACTGCACACTAAGACGAGACTAGGAAAGTGTAGCTAGTTTGTACTAATAGTAACTTATAATACGCATAGTATAGTATTATATAGCCCAAAACAAATGACATAAATTAAATAGCAAATGGACATGATTTACAATCTAAGATTATAATTCTAAAATGACTATAAAAACTAGAGTAGAAGTATAACAAAAAGTCCAACATGTAAAATGAGAAGTAGGACTTCCGTAACGAGCGACCACCCAACAAACACAATAAGTAGAGATGGGACCTTACCCTAGTCCAAACTCAAACCCTAACCCTAAAAACCCTAATATGTGGGAGGGGGGGGGGGAATAAGGTCGAGTTGGGGCGGTTTGCTGGCCAGATTGAGGGCGCAAAGTGGCTATCGTGGCACAATCCAATCACGGCCGACTCGTTCGGGCGACTGACAGACCCGATCCCATCCGCAATGGGCACCCGATAACCCTCTATGATCGGGCTGACCCGGTTTTGGCCCCAACGATAACTACGGCTTCACCATCAAATACTACTGGTTCTAAATGATTACTTTTCAACACAGATGCCTATATGATGTTTGACGCTCAGTGAGCAAGAGATATCAATAATCAATGTATCAGGAATGTACATTTCTGTCCGTTTCTGTTATCAGCTGATATCCCCCCACCAAACCCCCAAGCTTACAACCGATCGGCCATGGCGGCGGGGCATTTTTTGCGGGTAACTTCCAGTGAAACGCTGAGCGCTTCTAGTTTAAAAGTCAGTATTATATCGATGGCCACCTCTATTCTCACCCGGGGTGACAATAGTGCAGGTGAGTCTTTTGGCTATTCTCACCCGGTGCGCGTTCACCATTATAGCCTAGATCTAGGCCAACAAATTTTGCGTTCACCCTAAATCACAGAATT